TGTAAATGAAAAAAAAAACACACGTCTTGACCACATTGCAAACTGCAACTGTATTGGACGATATGATTCGTGATTATAACCGTAGTACCGTATTTTGGCTAGCTTGGCAAATAGTCTCAGCATTTACATAGAATACCACAACGGCTGAGCTTGGAATGTCAGCAATCAACTACGTAGAATGACTGCGACAGCTGGTGGGAGATATTCAAGTCCACCGTCTTGGCCAGCATATGCAATTCCATGTGTATACAAATTTTAGTTATAATTGGTGTTATGAAAAATAACGTATTTATTTACATGACAATTTGTATTCAAATGGTGGGGAGATGCAGTCTTGTGGACATGTGGTCGTTCAGTATAAATATGGCCGAGGAGAATGAGTACAAGCCCAGACTCGCAGTGCTTTCTTTCCGACACACGTTAATATACCGTCCTTTATACACAGGAAGTATTTAATGAAGGCAAGAAGGAAACTGAAGAAAACTCGTCAATCGTGCAGTGGCATTGGGTATGATAAAGTTGACATTGACACGACAGATTTTACACTAGCAAAGCGTGAGAAAAGAAAGAAATCCAAAGCAAAGGAAATGTTTGACGTCGGCGAGTTGCCAACTGAACGTACCACGGACAGCAGTGATTATAGTCCTCTCAAGAAAAGGCGTAAAATGAACAAACACAAATCGGAGACTGCTGTCCACTCTAACAATGAACATGCGATTACAGAAGAAAGTCTTTCGAAAGATTGCGAGGGCAAACCCGGAGGCAAACGTAAATCAAAGACAAACCGTACAGTTGTTGAATCTCCAGTTGCCGAAGAAGCAAATGCCGAAGAAACACAAGTTGGCCAAGCAGAAATACAACGTGCCGTCGAAGATGTGATACAATTTTTACAAGAAAATATTATCGATTCAGATCTTTTGACATCCGCCACGACTCCCAACACAGAAAAGCAGGGGCCTGAATATATCAACGCAGTGGGTACACAAGAAAATGTTGATGTCGCCAAAGAATTGCTACAAGAAAATGTTGGCGATACAGAACAGTCTACTTTTGCGAGTTTCCCCAAAAAACAAACTATTAAAAAACATGTTGTGTATGCACACGCATCTCCAATAGACACACGTGATGATGAACTTGTATTGGACGACAAAACGGGTGAACTACGACACAAAGTTCCAGATGACTTTGTTGTTACAAATGACGATGATACAGATTCCGAAATCGATGAAGATTGTGCTGAGAATGACGATTTTTTAGAGCAACGTTACCCACCTGCACTCGATAGCGACATTGAAATTGAATCCGACACAGAAATGGATGCTACATTTGATTATGTTGCCTCCAGCACTAGTGAATGGAGAATGGCCACAGAGGAAGACAGTGATATATTTACTATTCCAGTTTTTGGACAAAAACCTGGACCAACTTTCGAACTGCCTTCATATGCTCGTGAGGTGGAATATTTCTATAAATTTATCCCACCAGAACTGATCGAACTGGCTTCCAACGAGACTAATAAATACGCCAAATATCATCAAAAATACATTGCAAAAAAATTAAATGCCCGCTGGCGTAATACAAATTACAGTGAAATGCAAGCATTCTTTGGTGTGATAATATGTATGGGTGTTGACCGCAAATCGGCAATCGACGATTATTGGTCGAGTGACCCCTTTCTGCAGAATACGGGAATTGCATCAGTAATGACTCGGGCCAGATTTCAAATGCTAATGCGTTATTTCCATTTAGCCGACCCAGTAAATGACCCACGGCGGGATCCTGACATTGAACGTCGTCATCAACGTTCAGAGGCCGACCCTTTGTATAAAATCAACCCATGGCTGAAACCCATACTCGAAAATTGTCGTCGATATTATCAGATGGGACAGGAAATTTCAATCGACGAGGGTATGGTGAGATTCAAAGGAAGGTCCAAATTTAGGCAGAGATTGCCCCACAAACCCGACCGTGATGGCTTCAAAATATGGCAGGTATGCGACTCAACAACCTCTTACATTGCGAACTTTGAACCATATTTGGGGGTGAAATATACAACTGCAAATGAGGGAAGAAAGAAAGAAACTGGGACAATCAAGAAGACTGTGCACCGGTTGTTACAGCCCTTCACAGAAAAAAAACATATTCTTTTCTGTGATTCGCTTTTTACGTCAGTTGACACAGCCCTTGAATTACAAGACAAGAAAGTGTACATGGTCGGTAGTTTTAACCGAAGAAACCGGAAAACGATGCCACCGCAATTAATTCCTGAGGGGAAAAGCAAGAAGCTGAAATTGAAAATTGGTGAAATGAAAGCAGCAACTAGACCTGATGACACAATCAATATTACTGCATACCAGGATGAATGTGCACAAATATTTATTTTAAATACGGTCTATCCCCCACTGGCTACATCGGCAGAAGTGGCAGATGATGAGAGATACGTGCCTGTATCGTTACAATGTTATAGACATCACATGGGTGGTGTGGATCGTTCTAACCAAAGGCGAAAATACTATCACACGGGCAGAAAAAACAATCGTTGGTGGATCTACATGGCCTGTTATCTCATAGATGTTGCATTGGTCAATGCTTATGAATGTTTCAAGGCATTGAATCGCACGACTAAAGTAACGCACAAATTCTTCAATATCCGCACAGGAAAACAACTGATTGGTGGACACTCAAGTAGAATTCAAAAGTCCATAAGAGAAGTTGGCTCCCTTCCAAGTAACACGTCATTTATTCGTAGTGAAAACATGGATTCGCACGAAATATGCAGACTACCCGGGCGACAAAAATCGTGTAAGCAGTGTAGCAAGGACGGGAAAAAAACAGCAAGTGGCCGATTATCAGAAACATCGAAAGGATGCCCAATTTGTAAAGTTCACCTTCATGCGGGCGAGTGTTTTGCTGCATTTCATCACAACATGGCACTGAGGGGGAAACGCACCGTGGGAACACAAACACGAAGTACGGAAGAGCAGCCCTCAACATCAGGCAAACGCATGGGTGCAGCCCACCGGGGTGGACGACTAAGAAAGGCATGTAAGAAATAAATTTGGAACTTATTACAGCGTCACAATTGTACAATAGTATGAGTTGGTAAAAATATGTTATCCTTAATTTAGTTTAATACTCACTCGTTATCCATACATTTTAATGATGGGTTAGTTTATTGGGTCTAGTCGGTGGATACACGTTTCTGCATGAGTATATATATGTTTCTGTGTGAGTATATATACATGCCAAGTCCCTGCAGTTACGTTCTCCCTCGTTCTTTTATTTCAAGTTTTTAAATATATGTTGTAATTTTTAGTTAGTTAATCGGGTCATGTCGGGGAATATACGTTACCGTGTGAAGGTAACTCCGATCAAGTCACTGCAGTTGCTTTCTCGTTCGTTTTTGTTTCATTTTGAGTCATTTAATACAGATTGTAATTGATGGTTTACTCCAACGGTCAAGTCCTTTAATATACATTAGAACTTGAAAAATTGAAATGTACACTGCCAGGTTGCATATGTCAAACGCGTTTTCTTTGTACATGCCTCAAATACTCCTATACTATTATTCTTCTTACTTCAAACTTGCATTCATGTAGTGACCTTGTACTTGCTTGCAATGTGTTTTCAATTAAGCAATACTTACATTTGTATTTCAATGTTTAACACATGTTTATTGAGACTGTACAACGGGCAAACCATTGTTACTTAACAACACTAAAAAAAAAAATGTGTATTCAAATAAAACTGATTTTTTTTTTTTTATGAGAAATTGTTGTCCATGGAATGTGTATGCAATGAAGTGGGTATGCAAACAGATGTGAAAACTGAGGTTGATACAGTCTGTTAACTATGGCCTATTTTTGCAAAAATGTATGGCATGCACAGATGCTGGCTACAGGAGTGCATTGAATCATGACCGTTTTTCAATCACTTAACCTG